TAGTAATATATAGATATATATATATATATATATATATATATATATTATATATATATATTATATATATTATATTTATGTGTATAAGTATATATATATATTTATATATATATATACGTGTGTGTGTGTGTGTTGTGCATGTGTTTGTGTGTGTGCGTTTATGTGTATATGTTTATTGTTGTGTACGTATTTCGTTCATGGTCGAAATATAGACCCTTTTTGTTGGAATCAGAGAGTATCCAAAGTGTATTTCCCTGACATTCACGTGCGAGGAGAATGTATTCCTCACACGTGAGTCCTTCTTATTCACTGGCTGCAGACACTAAATCCCTCGCTAGAGTTCAGCAAAGAACTGTTCACGGCCTTGTTGACGGATACAATCCTACGAAAACCGAATGCGTATGTTTACTAGTTTCACACATGCTACGTGAATAATTGAATAATTGAATAGTTAAATCTATTCCTTTATGGATATTTGGTACAAGTCAGAAGTAGGTAGCCCACATGTCTGCACTAGCAACTTTCAGAGATGCATGGTGTGTGCTCACTGCGCTCAGAATGACGCCGACGGCAGTTCAATTTACACAGCTTAGCCATGCCGAGCGACTTCTCTCGCTCATGCAGTTGCATACTCGTTGTCTTACTATATCTTTTTCAATAGGATCAAACAAAATGACTTGACTGTGTTTTCGTGGGAGAAGGGTGACGCCGCCAGTGTCTTCACGCGCGATGAAGCGGTGCTGAGCTTCCAAAAATCAGCCGTTGGAAACTACAAATGGAAGTTCAAATTGAGCAGGTACGATAAAAGTGCAGTGTATTTAGCCGTTTGCTGGATGCTTGTGCCCGTATTGCGAAGATAAAAAGTTCTGAAAGTTTTAAGGAAATGACAATGTGGCATGCCCTACAGCTTTGTACTGCATGGTTTGCAGAAGTGCAGTAAGTTTAAGTGACTTCACTGGAGCCGACTCTGTACTGTGTGGCAAATGGTTGGAGTGTTAAGCTGCGTAGAACCGCAACTATGCGGGCTTGATCATGGGATTAGATAATAGGGTTAAATATAAGCTTAGTGGTATGATGGTGGCCCCATGTGAGTAACCTCAAGGGCACAGCACAGGTCTACCACCTCGGCACACTGATAGCCCTCAATCTAATATTACTCTACTCATAGTTACCCCAAGAAACCCTTAAGTAGGAATAATACATTGTATATTTTAAGGCGTAGTATTAAATTTTACTGGGCTAGTTATGAGTATATTTATAGATGAGCAGTCAGTTAGGAAATATGAAATGATCAGAGGTAGATAGTTTATAGGCGATGGGCTACATGACGGGCAAGTTCATTGCAATCTGCGAAACTGACTGAAACAGTAGCCTTGCTACCTTTAACCTCTCGAAAGACTCGCATGCACCATCATAGCCGTTTATATCCGCAGCACTCATAGTGGTGCAACAACTTGTACAACCGAAGCATTGATTATAAGTATACCTTCACATTTCATTCCTGGTCTCTTCATGACTGATAATACAAAGAAGTGAGTTGGGTGGAGAGGTACTTGCCCAACACTTGGTGCAACCGATGGCAGCTCTGATCAATGTCCTAGTCACAGAGCGAGACGATCTTATAGGTAGGTGAGAATACGTTTACTCAGTACAGATAGCTCACTTCAGGCGTTCTGTATTCGCGCAGCACACAACCCCATAAATAGCTACAGGACATTCAAAATATTGTCATAATTATAGTTATCTGAGTACAAATCTGTTGTTCTGAATAGTTGTGACTACAAATGACTATACGTACGTGCTGACGATTTCTAAACTCGGAACATCTCTGATGTACAGTCATTGTGCTTTTCATTATATGTTCGCTTTTCAGTTCTCAAAGAGCGTTTACGCACCGACTCCGCCGCTTTTGGCGTGCATAGTTGTCTGTTTGTAACTGCCAGTACGAAATTAATCCTGTATGTTTTTTCACTATTAAGATTGAAAGCCGATGTCGCGGGGTTGTACTCGTGTTACACATATGATGTGAAAACGGAGCACTAATGTATATCTATTTCATTTTCGCAGAAGTTGTCAAGGCGAAGTCTGAGGACATACACAATGCAAAGAAACTCTTGGGAGAAATCGACAGAAAGAAGTTTAGGAGCTCAAAGTTTGATGGGAAAGCCTTCAGAGCTGTATGTTTTGAAAAGGTATTGCTTTGAAATCATTCTATCACCTGTACAGGCTTATAGCATCGTTGTTATACACCCTGCAAGGCAGTACGCTCTCGGACAACCGCTGTAGACTAAGCTCTTTTAGGTGTATCACCGTAAATAGTACTGATCGCCTCCCATCACGACGTGCGCCCACACTATGTTCTGTTTTCTGAGGAAGTCGATATAGCTTACAAGCGATCTGGCGGCTTCCCACAATAGAAGCTCGTATATCGAATGTATTGGGGGCCACCTATAAGCTTTGCTTAAAATGAATGCTTTTCTACTTTAATATTGTAGACTATGAAGAGTGATGGTTTCAGGCGTCCGATAGAGCGCCTACTAGGAGCCGAGGGAGACTTCCAAGCACGCTATAGTGACATGCAAAATGGGATACAAACTGCGCACGCACATCCAGGTATATGGTGACTGATAGCTTCTCTGGGCACGCGAATATTTAGTGGCTGCGGTGCGCGATTCCATGTTTTGTCACGTGGTATTGTACGGTACAAGTGCCATTGGCCCATTTAGATGACTGGCAATCCGGTCTTAAGTCGCATGAGCGGGGGTCATATGCATGTGTCATTTGTGCGGATTGATGGCAGTGCGTTACTACATCAGCACTTTCAACTCTGCAGCGAAGCGCTACTAATATCTTTCTGAATAACAGTCCGGAACCGCCACTGCCGTGCTTCTGAAATAGTAAAACTATGGCCCGACTTCACATTGCTTGCAATTCGTTAAAAAATATTATCCTGCTATTATCAATGCACATACACTTGATACTCGCATCCCCCCTCTTCAATTTATGTATTGAGGCGTAATGATATAGATAGTAACTACAATTAACGCCGACTACTCCTTATTCTATTTATAGCACCCATAATCATGGAGACCCCCAGCGGCAACCTCGCCTTCTCGGACCCCGTGGCTGCACCTGTACGCAGCGCATTTAAACGAGGTGCAGTTTCCAGTACTCTTCCCAGACGAAGTTCGGTACAAATCCATGATTCGGTTCCACCATCTGCTATGATAGGTGAAGTGATACCATTTGCGGAAACAGTCGACATTCAAGTACCAAATGCGAGTCATGATAATGCGGAAGTGGTTGCCGAGGTCGCCCCAGCCTTGCAGACCGATCTCGTGGGTTTGGCGGAGGAGAACGAGACCCAAAGTCAAGCAGTGGTTCAAGATGTGAAGTTACCTACCAGTAGACCGAAGAAGCGGAAAAAGCGAAACATAAACTAAAAGTGAGAAAGAGTTGCGCACAAAGGCAAAATGCATGCTAAAAGTTCGCCATCAAAATACATACAAGGCAAGAATTGGGCATTTATTTATTTCTGTGCATTGGTACGTAGTTGCACATGCGTTCTTAATAGCTGTTCCTATATATGGCATAGTGCAAGTTTGTAGCGAGATATACAGGAAGCTACCTCTGCCCAGGCTCATATAGTAGTAAGCGTCTACGTGGTCTGCGATTAGAGAACTGTCCTCTCACTCATATGAACATTTCCTCAAGATAGGCGATGTGCATGCCTAATGGTGGTGCATGTTTCATATCGAACCAGACATGCGCGTTCTCTTTAACCGACCCATGAGTCGTTATCGTGTTACATTTATAAATGAAGTCGTCGTATAGTTTGGCGCAGTTATGGTCATATCTGCCTGCCAATGAGCACTATACTTGTGGTGTTGTCTGCAGCTCCCTTCCTGTTGGGCATGAGATGAGGTGCGTAGAAACGCCGTGACAATCTCCGCAGGTATTCACTGTTGCGCACTTTCACAAGTGCCACAGTAGTTCGCATTCTCGGCCTGAGCCTGTCTGCAATTGGTGCCGAAACTAGACCCTGGTGCGGTAGGTGCTTGCAAAAGATGGGGCGGGAGAATACGCAGCGTGGCTTTGACTATCCGTACCCTGAAGAGGTCCCATTGTCGCTACAGCGGGCGGTTGATGCGTTTGGTATGAGGGAAATGGTTGGTGCGTGGAGTAGGGATATGGTACACATATACTGTGCACATAAAAGTTCCACAGCACTGTTATATGCAGCCAAACGACTCAAATTCGAGCTTCTTGTGTGAACATTGGTAGACCTGCGATGCCTCTACCATCTGTAGCCCGTACCCGAAACACTGGTACAGCAATGAATATATTCACCACACTCACATTCCTCTGAATCCCTCATTGTGGAATTCGCTATAGTATGCCAATACTGCCTCTGGTGCCCACTCATTGGTCAGTTTTACATCCCGACTGAGGTTGCGGATTTCTATACCCACCGGTTGCGCCGATGCATTGTCCTGCAACCCCTTATCTACAGTAATACTGCGGTGGGGAAGGAGATTGGACGAACGACAATGTTTGCTGTGTCATTATGTGTCAACAAGCGCTGGTGTTGGCGAATGTACGCACCCGATCATACTTCTCTCGACACTATTTATATACTCGCGCAATTCAATAAATCCACCTCAACCCTTTTTGAAAAGCTTTATCGGACGATCTGCTCAATCAGCTGACTCGGCTGAGGAGATATACTATTTACAGCTTTTTGGCGCGCAAATCCTTTTCTAAGAAAAAACATTGTTTTCAATCTCTCGTATGGTGCAAAGGGGCAAGAACCTGCCCCTTTGGGCTTTGAGGGGTTATATTTTGATCATACACAAGAGTCATAGACATGTCAATAATTGTACAATCCCGATTTTTTACAACGGCTACGGTTTCCTCTCGTTATTCCCAACAACAGCTCTTTTCGGTTCAAAGTTTTTCAAAAAGTTACAGCCGATTCATTATTATTTCCTTTTTTTTTTAAATGAACATAGTGTACAGTAAATAATATATACATAACAAGTTTACATCAATAAGGACCACGTACTGATCCGAGAGTGAGGACTGCAACTGTGGCCGTTCATCCCTATAGAATGAGACTGGCCCACTTGAAGCAAGAAACTGCCGATATTCAAACGCCGTAAATGGCACTGAATATGTTGGGGAACCCTGTACACCGTTTTACAAATCAAAAGTGCTTCACCTGTTGGGCAATATACAACAATTGACTGATACAGAATTCCTACATACAACGACGTGCAAATGATCAAACCACGCAAAACGATCACAACATTGCATAATATCAGGTTTTATTCTTACTGGCGTCCTAATGTCAGGTAATTCCATAACCAGTTTCCGTCTGATATCGCTCTCTAAGTGTTTACGACGGGATAGGGGGGAGCTCCAAAAATGGCGTTCTACCCCGGGTGCTCCGTATTGCCGAAAGAACTGCGCTGCATTGCGCTATATGCAAGAACATAGTTATAATCGTAGCATAGCTTATCGTGACAACACGCTTATGATCGTCCGTAGGGGTTGTATCGGGAGTCTCTCGAGCTTCCTCCACGGCCTCCACCACTAGAATAGGTGCTGCTGCCGCCGCCGTATCCGCTGGACTTATCGTCGTAACCACCACTCGCACCGTAGCCGGCACCGTAAGCTCCCTGGGCGCTACCTTGCGCAGCGTAACCGGAGGCTGCAATGTTAAGAAATATCAAAACATCAGCTGGATTCTATCGTATTCTTTTTTCATCTTTTAACAGTCTGTTTGTTAAACATTCTGACAGGAACTACTAACCATATTCTGCGATACATTTCTTATCGGTTTCCTGATAAAGCCGAGGCAAACCAACCCCTGCAATTATTGTCATAAACTCCACTTTAGCTCTGTATGGAGCGATATAACCCGATTTTAAGATCTCGATAACACTGGTATCGAGAGCTACACTGTACAAAATGAAATACCAATTAGACATGAGGTTTGAGCACACCTCGCCCCTCACATTCCCAATCTCAAGTTCATCACATTCGCACGTTTACCAATCACACAAAGTACTTACCGTCGTAAGAATCATAGCCGCCCTGAGAATATCCTCCCGTCGAAGCCTGACCATACTGATCGTAGCCGTAGCTATCTCCATACCCAGCAGTTGAGCCTCGTGCAGAGTCGCCACCGGCTGCACCTCTGCCATAACCACTGCTGGCGCTCTGGTCACCGTAGCCGTAGCCATCCCAGGCACCGCCGCCGGCACTGGCACCGTACGCACCACTGGAACCTTGTGCGTAGGGATCGGCACCCCAACCACCTCCACCGGACTGTGTACGAAGATTAGAAAATGAAAAGAATTAGAAATTGGCTGCAGATCTGCAAGATTAACAAATTTAATCGCAATAGTTAGTTGATTGATATGTATTGATCGACCCGGATCCAATAAAGGGAGAGCAAAACACGGCGTAAAACATAACAACTATCTCTTGTCTGACTCACTCGTAAAAGATCAGTCACGATGAAGCAGAACAGCTATACCATACCTGTTGTCCGTACTGGTCGTAGCCAGAGTTGTATCCTCCTCTGCTTCCGCGCGAGTCATAGCCGCCACCTCGACTGGAACCGCCGTTCTGGTGCCCACCTCGACCACCGCCGTAACTGCTACCGCCTCGACTAGACGCTCCGAACTTACCTCCCCCGTACGAGGATTGTCCTCCATATCCACCACTTTGGTACCCACCTGCGCCTCTCTGGCCGTGACTGCTACCGCCGTATGAGGGGTTGCCGCCGTAGCCACCGCCGTAGCCGCCGCGACCACCGGATTGGAAGCCGCCGGGTCGGTTGGAGTCGCTTCTGCAGGTGGAATGGGTGGTGAACACAAGTTCCGCAAGTGGGGGTATGCATTAGATGGGATGAGTGCGCACACGTTTTAAGGTGGTCGGATAGTACTATCCTATCACCAAACAACAGGACTGGGGGGGTGTAGGAATGTGAGAAAAGCGTGACAAGGGCATGAACTAGTATTAAACGCGCAGCAGCACCCACGTACACAACTTCAATATCGTATGACAAGTGTCCAAGAACATACCGTGGTTCGGCCTTTTTGACCTCGATCTCTTTGCCATCCACCTCATAGTATTGCTTCTGAACGACTGTGTCTACAACACTCGCTTCGGTGAAGCTTACGAATCCAAAACCTCTCAACCTCTGAAAAGTGTAAAAAAAATACACACGATCAGATGCATGTAAATATAAGGTAACGATACGTTTGCTGTAGCCAGACGCAGCTTACAAGAGCAAGATATGAATACCCTAATTCCATTATCTAGAATAAAGAATGTTTTAATAAAACTGGCGAATTTCGGACCCCCACCTTGCAATAAACGAATTCTTCGCTCATTGCGAAGTACCAACATCACAAAAACCACCAACGACGACACCACGACGGAAATTGAATCATGCCAGTGACCATATTCTAGTGCCTCAAAACATTGAAATACTAAAATTCCCGTTCTTAGCTACCACCCTAAAACCTAAAGCTGCTACCCACCTGTGTAAACTTGTCCTTCATAATCACCACATCGTCCACCTTTCCGAACTTGCCGAAGAATGTGGTTAAGCTCTCCTCCGTAGTCTCCGGGGAAAGTCCACCCACGAAAATTTTCATGGTCTTGATCAGAGGTCGTTCTGAGTCTCTTCTGATGGCTCTCTGTGGTACGGCTGGTTTGGGGTCGATTGTGCGCTCATCGATGGTATGGGGTCCAGCGCCCATTACTTTCTCAACTGACTTGGGATCGGCGAATGTAAGGAACCCAAATCCTCTGTAAAGTGGACAGATATATTCAAACTATTAAGTAAAACAAATCAAAAAAGGGGGCACTATATACATAT